AAAGCATATTAAAAGCAGCAAGGGAAAAACAACAAATAACACACAAGGGAATCCCCATAAGGTTAACAGCTGATCTCTCAGCAGAAACTCTACAAGCCAGAAGGGAGTGGCAGGACATACTGAAAGTGATGAAGGAGAAAAACCTGCAACCAAGATTACTCTACCCAGCAAGGATCTCATTCAGATTTGATGGAGAAATTAAAACCTTTACAGACAAGCAAAAGCTGAGAGAGTTCAGCACCACCAAACCAGCTTTACAACAAATGCTAAAGGAACTTCTCTAGACAAAAACACAAGAGAAGGAAAAGTCCTATAATAACGAACCCAAAACAATTTAGAAAATGGGAATAGGAACATACATATCGATAATTACCTTAAATGTAAATGGACTAAATGCTCCCACCAAAAGACACAGATTGGCTGAATGAATACAAAAACAAGACCCATATATATGCTGTCTACAAGAGACCCACTTCAGATCTAGAGATACATACAGACTGAAAGTAAGAGGATGGAAAAAGATATTCCATGAAAATGGAAACCAAAAGAAAGCTGGAGTAGCAATTCTCATATCAGACAAAATAGACTTTAAAATCAAGACTGTTAGAAGAGATAAAGAAGGACACTACATAATGATCAAGGGATTGCTCCAAGAAGAAGATATAACAATTGTAAATATTTATGCACCCAACATAGGAGCACCTCAATACATAAGGCAAATACTAACAGCCGTAAAAGGGGAAATGGACAGTAACACATTCATAGTAGGGGACTTCAACACCCCACTTTCACCAATGGAGAGATCATCCAAAATGAAAATAAATAAGGAAACACAAGCTTTAAATGATACATTAAACAGGATGGACTTAATTGATATTTATAGGACATTCCATCCAAAAACAAAAGAATACACATTTTTCTCAAGTGCTCATGGAACATTCTCCAGGATAGATCATATGTTGGGTCACAAATCAAGCCTTGGTAAATTTAAGAAAACTGAAATTATATCAGGTATCTTCCCCGACCACAACGCCATGAGACTAGATATCAATTATAGGAAAAGATCTGTAAAAAATACAAACACATGGAGGCTAAACAATACACTACTTAATAACGAAGTGATCACTGAAGAAATCAAAGAGGAAATTAAAAAATACCTAGAAACAAATGACAATGGAGATACAACGACCCAAAACCTATGGGATGCAGCAAAAGCAGTTCTAAGAGGGAAGTTTATAGCAATACAAGCCCACCTTAAGAAGCAGGAAACATCTCGAATAAACAACCTAACCTTGCACCTAAAGCAATTAGAGAAACAAGAACAAAAAAACCCCGAAGCTAGCAGAAGGAAAGAAATCATAAAGATCAGATCAGAAATAAATGAAAAAGAAATGAAGGAAACGATAGCAAAGATCAATAAAACTAAAAGCTGGTTCTTTGACAAGATAAAGAAAATAAATAAACCATTAGCCAGACTCATCAAGACAAAAAGGGAGAAGACTCAACTCAGTAGAATCAGAAATGAAAAAGGAAAAGTAACAACTGACACTGCAGAGATACAAAAGATCATGGGAGATGACTACAAGCAGCTCTATGCCAATAAAATGGACAACCTGGGAGAAATGGACAAATTCTTAGAAATGCACAACCTGCCAAGAATGAATCAGAAAGAAATAGAAAATATGAACAGACCAATCACAAACACTGAAATTGAAACTGTGATTAAATATCTTCCAACAAACAAAAGCCCTTGACCAGATGGCTTCACAGGCGAATCCTATCAAACATTTAGAGAAGAGCTAACACCTATTCTTCTCAAACTCTTCCAAAATATAGCAGAGGGAGGAACACTCCCAAACTCATTCTACGAGGCCACCATCACCCTGATACCAAAACCAGACAAGGATGTCACAAAGAAAGAAAACTACAGGCCAATATCACTGATGAATATAGATGCAAAAATCCTCAACAAAATACTAGCAAACAGAATCCAACAGCACATTAAAAGGATCATACACCATGATCAAGTGGGGTTTATTCCAGGAATGCAAGCGTTCTTCAATATACACAAATCAATCAATGTGATTCACCATATTAACAAATTGAAGGAGAAAAACAGATGATCATCTCAATAGATGCAGAGAAAGCTTTTGACAAAATTCAACACACATTTATGATAAAAACCCTGCAGAAAGTAGGCATAGAGGGAAATTTCCTCAACATAATAAAGGCCATATATGACAAACCCACAGCCAACATCGTCCTCAATGGTGAAAAACTGAAAGCATTTCCACTAAGATCAGGAAGAAGACAAGGTTGCCCACTCGCACCACTCTTATTCAACATAGTTTTGGAAGTTTTACCCACAGCAATCAGAGAAGAAAAGGAAATAAAAAGAATTCAAATCGGAAAAGAAGAAGTAAAGCTGTCACTGTTTGCAGATGACATGATACTATACATAGAGAATACTAAAGATGTTACCAGAAAACTACTAGAGCTAATCAATGAATTTGGTAAAGTAGCAGGATACAAAATTAATGCACAGAAATCTCTTGCATTCTTATACAGTAAAAATGAAATATCTGAAAGTGAAATCAAGAAAACACTCCCATTTACCATTGCAACAAAAAGAATAAAATATCTAGGAATAAACCTACCTAAGGAGACAAAAGACCTGTATGCAGAAAATTATAAGACACTGATGAAAAAAATTAAAGATGATACAAATAGATGGAGAGATATACCATGTTCTTGGATTGGAAGAATCAACATTGTGAAAATGACTCTACTACCCAAAGCAATCTACAGATTCAGTGCAATCCCTATCAAACTACTACTGGCATTTCTCACAGAACTAGAACAAAAAATTTCATAATTTGTATGGAAACACAAAAGACCCCGAATAGCCAAAGGAATCTTGAGAACGAAAAACAGAGCTGGAGAAGTCAGGCTGCCTGACTTCAGACTATACTACAAAGCTACAGTAATCAAGACAGTATGGTACTGGCACAAAAACAGAAAGATAGATCAATGGAATAGGATAGAAAGCCCAGAGATAAACCCATGCACATATGGTCACCTTATCTTTGATAAAGGTGGCAGGAATATACAGTGGAGAAAGGACAGCCTCTTCAATAAGTGGTGCTGGGAAAATTGGACAGGTACATGTAAAAGTATGAGATTAGATCACTCCCTAACACCATACACAAAAATAAGCTCAAAATGGATTAAAGACCTAAATGTAAGGCCAGAAACTATCAAACTCTTAGAGGAAAACATAGGCAGAACACTCTATGACATAAATCACAGCAAGATCCTTCTTGACCCATCTCCTAGAGTAATGGAGATAAAAACAAAAATAAACAAATGGGACCTAATGAAACTTCAAAGCTTTTGCACAGCAAAGGAAACCATAAACAAGACCAAAAGACAGCCCTCAGAATGGGAGAAAATATTTGCAAATGAATCAACTGACAAAGGATTAATCTCCAAAATTTACAGGCAGCTCATGCAGCTCAATAACAAAAAAACAAACAACCCAATCCAAAAATGGGCAGAAGACCTAAATAGACATTTCTCCAAAGAAGATATACAGACTGCCAACAAACACATGAAAGAATGCTCAACATCATTAATCATTAGAGAAATGCAAATCAAAACTACAATGAGATATCATCTCACACCAGTCAGAATGGCCATCATCAAAAAATCTAGAAACAATAAATGCTGGAGAGGGTGTGGAGAAAAGGGAACACTCTTGCACTGCTGGTGGGAATGTGAATTGGTACAGCCACTATGGAGAACAGTATGGAGGTTCCTTAAAAAACTAAAAATAGAACTACCATATGACCCAGCAATCCCACTGCTGGGCATATACCCTGAGAAAACCATAATTCAAAAAGAGTCATGTACCAAAATGTTCATTGCAGCTCTATTTACAGTAGACCGGAGATGGAAATAACGTAAGTGTCCATCATCGGATGAATGGATATAGAAGATGTGGTACATATATACAATGCAATATTACTCAGCCATAAAAAGAAACGAAATTGAGCTATTTGTAATGAGGTCGATGGACCTGGAGTCTGTCATACAGAGTGAAGTAAGCCAGAAAGAGAAAGACAAATACCGTGTGCTAACACATATATATGGAATTTAAGAAAAAAAATGTCGTCAAGAACCTAGGGGTAAGACAGGAATAAAGACACAGACCTACTAGAAGAACAGACTTGAGGATATGGGGAGGGGGAAGGGTGAGGTGTGTTAGGGCGAGAGAGAGACATGGACATATATATACTAACAACACATAACACAGGGAGATCAACTCGGTTCTTTGTGACCACCTAGAGGAGTGGGATAGGGAGGGTGGGAGGGAGGGAGACGCAAGAGGGAAGAGATATGGGAACATATGTATATGTATAACTGATTCATTTTGTTATAAAGCAGAAACTAACACACCATTGTAAAGCAATTATACTCCAATGAAGATGTAAAAAAGAAAAACTATGACACAAGGTGATTATTTAGATATTATTATTACAAAGAATTTAAATATACAAATTTGGTTGTAAAAGTTCAGGCTAAGCCACTTAGGTAAAAGTCTGTGATGTTATAGTTTCCAAGAAGTGCCATAAAAGTCAAACAGTTAAACATTTCTCTGTGCTTTTTTTTTTTTTGTAATTCTCGAAATGTTATATAAAGTGCTTCATCAAATAATGTAGACACATCAAATGTACTGGGGTGGGGGGAGGAGGGCTGAACTGACACATCCACATTTTAAAGACTGAGAAATGAATGAGAAGACACAGTGGTACTATATTTAAAGCAAATATTGGCATATCTTGTACAAGAAAGGCATCTTACAATAATGATTCTGTTGATACATCACAATTTTTCAGTTTGTATTTCTAAAATGGGTGGAGGATCTATGATATAATGTCAAAAAACAGAGAACTGACATAAAAAGCCAAATATAAAGATACAAAAGACAACAGTAACACTCAACCATCCACAGATAAAAGGCCATCTGGACATAAGCCTGAAACCAGCAAGACACCATCCACCGCAATTTCTCCGGTTTTGCCCTTGCCACGTTCTGCTTCAAAAATGATCTAATAATGGAGAGGGAATAAAAAATTACTTCAAAATATTTAAAGCAATGATAAAATCCCACTATTTAATAGCTATTAAACTGGACTAAATTCATGTCCCTATTGCATAAAAACAGGCTTTGACATTGAGCATATAATAATATATTTTCCAGATGCCAGGTATCTACACTGAATGAATTGCATTCAGAGAAAACAGGGTCCCTGCAACACCTAAAAGAATCTGGAAAGTCCTGGAAAGCTGAGAAGAGTAAGGTTTAAGAGGAAATTCTGGAATTCCCATTTAAAGAAAAAAAAAAGCAAAACTAAAAGAATCATATGATTTTCTTTTCGAAAACCAGGCTAGAAGGAATTTAATACTCCCTGTGAACATAAAATAATCACAGAGCAGTGTTCAGGGCAGCAGAGATGAAGCCATTTTAGGCTTGCGTGATGACCAGTGTGTCTGGCTTTCCCTGGCTCTCCAAAGAGAAAAGTGGAAGCCTCAGAAGGACAAATGGGGGCAAAGACAGACTGAATGCCCACTGCCTGGGCTACTCTCTGTTGTTCTTATGCTCCCTGGATTCATTTTCTTGAGAATGGCTGGAGACAAGCTATCACTGAGCAGCAAGTGATAGCACAACTGGGTATAGAAATCTCTTCCTTCCCTAGTCTCTTCTCAGGAAGGAACTGCTTTCAGAAAGATGTTCCTTTGGGATAATTTTTAAAAGTAGTGAGCCGAAAAGCAGACTCCTCACAGCAGCTGCAATGGGTGGGATAATGAGGGGAGGCATGTCTAGATCTTGGGATATGGTGACTTTCCCATCACTAAAATCCCTGACTGATACTCCCAGATAACTAAAAATAAATATCAGGATAACGAATTGACACCCTAGTTTGTGTTTGTTTTTCCACCGCATTTTTGCCAAGTCTGGAACAACAAAAAAAATTCAGGCAGGCTTCTTTTTTTTTTTTTTGCGGTACGCAGGCCGCTCACCGTTGTGGCCTCTCCCATTGCGGAGCACAGGCTCCGGACGCACAGGCCCAGCGGCCATGGCTCACGGGCCCAGCCGCTCCGCGGCATGTGGGATCCTCCCGGACAGGGGCACGAACACGTGTCCCCTGCATCGGCAGGCAGACTCTCAATCACTGCACCACCAGGGAAGCCCCAGGCTTCTGATGTTCTCTTTCGTCAGGGAGATTTGGGATATAAAAATCAAAAGCAGACTTTTCTACAAGACATCCCCTTCCTGATATTTGCTCCCCACAGGCTTAACCTCCTTGAGAAGGCTAAGCCAGTAGAAGGTGGAGTGAGGTGCCTGTGAGGAGTAGAAGGAGAAGGAATGAGGGGAAAAGTGAGATTCTCCAGGACTAGGAACCACACCACTGTGTCTTTGTGGCAGAGCCCTGGGTGGGAAACGGTTGCCTGAACTTCCTACGGAGGACGGATTCCCAGGAGCAAGACTCCAGTAAAGTTTTCTGGGTCCAGTCTGGCATGGAAATTGAAGACATGAGTGACTTGAAGAACCACGTGGGTGCAGAAAATGTGGGTCTCCAGGGCCCCCACGACGAAGTGAAGATGTGCTGCCCCTCTCTTAATGTCTGTGCCACTTTTAGCCTTTCAGATGCTCAGGCCCCCCTGGGGAGGGCGGCCCTCACTCAACCCTGTGTGAGCAAATAACGGAGACTGAATCCCACGCAGCCCCACCACCCTGCCACACAGCCTAGTGGGATGGGGCTTTGGGTTCAGATGGAATTTGATTTAGAGAAAACAACGTTACTTACCTTGTATGCCTGAATTTATGGAGTAAGACTCACATCTGCTACAAATATCCACAGCCAATATGACACTGATAAACTGAAATGCATGCTTTAGTCTGGACTGCTTGGCTTCCCCACCCTCCAATGCGCCCCATCAAGGTCTGCCCTAGTACTGAAAAAGTTCAGGGCACAGGTGCCTGCCTCAGGCCCCTGCTGGGCCTGCGTACCCTTCTAACAGGCCAGGCTCTTTGGGGGCATGTTTTCAAAAATGTGCATTTAAATAAAATCACTGTTTTGATAGCATACACCCCCAGCAAGCCATTGAGTTATGTAAAATATTTCTTAGTATATAAATTCAGTAAACATGGAGGTAATTACAAATGCCGTGCAGAAGCATACTTCAATTCTCCAAAAGGGATCTCAACCCTCTACAGCACGACTCAATGTTACGATCCCCAAACTACGCTACAAACACAACAATGTATATGTGGATTGGTTGTATATTGACTCAAATTTTTTGCAGTGAGAATAAACTAGAATTAAGGCGTTCGTCGGTGCTAAACCAGCCCTGGAATTGGGAGAGAATGATTAGGAAGTTCATTAACTTGGCCCAACATATACCTTTATCCATAGTCATGTCTCAGGATGTATTTTATTTAATTAGGGCTACTCTTCACTCTGGTGCGTAGCTTCTCACTGTGGTGGCTTCTCTTGTTGCAGAGCACGGGCTCTAGGTGCACGGGCTTCAGTAGTTGTGCCTCGCCGGCTCTAGAGCGCAGGCTCAGTAGTTGTGGCACACGGGCTTAGTTGCTCTGCAGCATGTGGGATCTTCCTGGACCAGGACTCAAACCCATGTCTCCTGCATTGGCAGGCGGACTCCCAACCATTGCACTGCATCAGGGAAGCAGGCAGACTCCCAACCACTGCACTGCATCAGGGAAGCCCAGGATGTATTTTATTTATTAAAAAACCCTTTTTTAGGTATCTATTCTTTTTTTTAAATTTATTTTATTTATTTATCATTTTTGGCTTTGTTGGGTCTTCGTTGCTGCGCACGGGCTTTCTCTAGTTGCGGCGAGTGGGGCTACTCTTTGTTGTGGTGCACGGGCTTCTCATTGTGGTGGCTTCTCTTGTTGCGGAGCATGGGCTCTAGGCGTGTGGGCTTCAGTAGTTGTGGCGCACGGGCTTAGCTGCTCCACGGCATGTGGGAGCTTCCCAGACCAGGGCTCAAACCCGTATCCCCTGCATTGGCAGGCATATTCTTAACCACTGAGCCACCAGGGAAGCCCCCGGGATGTATTTTATATAAGATGTTCAGCTTTGATTCAAGTGTGATGAGTGAATGAAGAGATGTTAAATCTAACATCTGATACTAAAGACCTGACTTTTTGGTTTGACGCCTATTACAGGATTTTACTTACGTTAACTAACACGTTCTCTTTCACAAGCAGTGTAGAAATGGAATCCTGATCATTCTTCTTGTCACCACTGGTTGGTACTCTGTTCTTTGTGTATCTCCTTCTAGATTTCACCCTATCTTTTCCCTTCCCACCTCGAGCAAACTTTTCATAACGGCCTATACAGGCTGCCCCCAGGGCTCTGCTCCCTTCCCTCCTGGTGGCTCTACAGTGTGGCTTTCCCTTTCCCCTGCAAAGACACAACTCCTGCAAAGGTCGGTAGCCACCTCCTGATGGTCAAACTTGATAGACTGTCATTTTTATCGTATTTGTTCTTTCTGAGCAGTACATCCCATTGGTCAACTTCCTCTTAAAACTCTGCCCCCTTTTCCTTTATTAAATCCTCTGGGCAGTAAAGGATGAACTCAGCAGGTCTGGGTTGTCCAAATCCTGCACATTCCAAAGACACATTTGGACCTTGACTGGTTCCTGGAAAATAACCTCTAAGTCCCTGGAATATCTTACCTCTTAAGAGTGTCTGTGGCCACACCAGATAATTTATGTTAACAATGTGATTTATGGTGGGGACCTTGGGCCACACAGTATCAGCCTGTCCTCCGGAGAAGCTAAAGACTGAGTAACTAGGGTCAGCCATGTGGGCAGTCATGCGAGCAGACTTACCCAGAACAAAACCCCTGAACACCAAGGCTTGTGTGAGCTTCCCTTGTGGGCAGTACTTTGTGCATGTTGTCACACATCATTACTAAGAGAATTAAGAGCTGTCCCTATGACTCACCAGGAGAAGAAAATTGCACGCTTGTGCCCAATCTCTCCTCTGCCCTACATGCCTTTTCCCTCTGCTGATTTTAATCTATCTCCTTTCACTGTAACAAACTATAATCATGAATATGACAGGTTTTCTGAGTACTTTGAGTCCTTCTAGGGAATCATGGAACCTGAGGGTGGTCTTAGGTACCCCAGACAATGGCCACTCTCTCAGTGCGGTCCAAAAAACATTTAAAAGATGACCTTCTAGATGTGGTAGATATATACAATGGAATACTACTCAGCCATAAAAAATGAAATAATGCCATCTGCAGCAACTTGGATGGACCTAGAGACAACCACACTAAGTAAAGTAAGCCAGACAGAGAAAGACAAATACCATAAGACATCACTTATATGTGGAATCTAAAATATGATACAAATGAACTTATCTACAAAACAGACTCACAGACATAGAGAACAGACTTGTGGTTGCCAAGGGGGAGGGCGGTAGGGAGGGAAGAAATGGGAGTTTGGGATTAGCAGATGCAAACTATTATAGAGAGGATGGCTAAATAACAAGGTCCTACTGTATAGCACAGGGAACTATATTCAATATCCTGTGATTTACCATAATGGAAAAGAATATGAAAAAATATATATGTATAATTGAATCAATTTGCTCTACAGCAGAAATTAACACAACATTGTAAATCAACTATGCTTGAACAAAATAAATTTTTTTAAAAAGTGACCTTCCAGTCTCCATTCATTGTGATAAGTGCTGGGCATAAAATGAATGAGGTTTCACATATTAAGGAGTTTAGAGGCTGGTTCGGAAGGAAGTTGGTGAGAGGAGCCTGACACACACAAACAGCTCATTCCCATAAAATGCTGATATGCATGCACTTGACAAGTATTACCATTAGTTGTGCTATTAATTACCTCATCTATTTTGCTCCAGAATATAAGCTCTTTAAGTGGAGGAAAGAGTCTAATTCATCTTTGTAGCCTCCGTGCCTAGGTAGTTCAGTAAGTGTTTTGTTTTGTTTGTTAAATCACTGAAAAAGAATGTAAATATCTCGTTTAATATGTTTTACACTTACGCTTCTGGGAGTATCAGTCCCTTGATACAGCTGAATTTCCCCCATCTTACACCATTCATCCGTGCTCCTGGTCTTCTCCCATGCCAGGGCATTATTACTGTTTTTCACAAACACTCGAAGTTTCCCTACTTTGTTTCCAGCCAGCCGGTAATGAAAGCGCAAACAAAAGTTGCTGTGGGGCTGCAGGGCCAGGAGGACAAGTTTCAAACGGCCGATGTCCTTCTTCTGACCTGCCAGGACCAACAGCTTGAAAGAGAAGAAAAACCCACAGTCAATGAGGCCAATGTAAAGGGTTTGGCTACAGTGTATAAAATAGCTGTAAAAACTGAACGCTAGTCTCCTATAGGGAAAGCTGAAGTCCTTTTCATTTCGAATATTTATGAACAAAATTTTCATGCTAAAATGGATTTTAGGGATCACAGGGCTGAAGCTCTTTGCTCTCCAGACAAGGTAACCAAGAGTCGGAGAAACTGAAGAATTTGTTCACATTCACAAAGCTTGGTAATAGCAGATATGGGGCAGGAACCTAATTAAATGGTCTTTTAGCACTGTAGGTGATTTTCTGCTAATGGAGAACTTGTGTTCCAAAACTTTCCACATTGGTTGTTTGAACCTCGGAATGCATTTCCCCACTGAGTTGGTATGTATGATGGCCAGCTCGTTAGGTGGGTCCACAGTGCGGTATTTAATCCACAACATACATGACTTTGTACCAATGGTATCATAGAGCTCAGCCACCATGTGTAACATATCACTCCAAGTTCTGATTGAAGATGGCAGGAACACAGGTCACCTTCTGTTTCTAAGATCCTTTTCCCAAGTATTTTTTTAACCAGTGTGTTGGATGTTTGCTCATCTCCAGTCTTCTGGTTGTGGCTTTGATGGACTTGGGCAAAAACTCTCACAGAGTGGGGTTTGAAGAAGTTGATAGGAAGAAGGAATTCCTCTAGAAGCCGGGAGAAAGACACGGTGGGTGGCTGGCGTCTTCTGCTAGTCCACAGACACTCCCAGGACCCAGGTTGACGATGCTTTAGTTTTCACTGCACCCAGAGACTGTCTGATCTTCTTCCCCAGTTAGTAAGTTTGCCAGATTCAGAAAATAAAAATACAGGCTGCCCAGTGGAGTTTGCATTTCACATAAACAACATGTCTGAGATAGACTAAAAAGTATGCGTTGCTTATCTGGAATTTAGGCACCCTATATTTTATCTGGCAGCTCTTCGAGCTATACTCTCTTTTGTGACCCATTGTGGTAGGTTTCCCTTTCACTCCCAGCTCAAGCCCACTTTGATCTGTCCTTGAGATTTTATCCTTCTAAAAATGCTGATTCATCCTATGTTTCTTTTGTTTATATTTAACTCTGGAGGGAAGAACCAGCCCACCGAGAGATCTGATGGAGATTCAGTAAGGGAGGGAGGACAGTATGAGTGATGCAAAAGCTGAGAACTCCAGGGTCATTTCTGAATGAGGTGTTTGTAAGTATGGGACTTGTACCCTCTACCCTAATCCCAAGTTCTAAAAGGAATTTTTGTTAGGAGATATCCAGGTTTCCTGATTGCATGTAAGGGCTTGCAAGGAAAGACCTCGGGGAGGAATTAGTCTAGAGGAAGGATCTACAAGAAGGATCTTTTACCTGAGAGCTGAGCCTATACATCCCCAAATAAACAATTTGGTAAGGATGTGGATTTCCTAAAGGTATAACAGTTATCTCTAATTATAGAGTCAGCCTTAAATGACCACGATTGGATTTATGCTCCAAATGCGATCAGCTAGCCAAATGCTCTGCCCAAAAGGAAGTTAGAGCTCATCGACAGTATTTAAGTAGGCAGTGGAAAGCAGGCAGCTCAGAGCTTAGGCAGAGAAAAATCCAAGGTTAAGTGGAAAGAAAGAAATCCTCAAGCAATGGAAGGGGAATTCCAGTCCAAAAGTGCAGACTGCTGATGTGATACTCATTATGGTTTCAATGCTCTGAGGGGTAACTCTACTAAAACTCCAGGTCTAGGGAGAGATCATATTTCCTTTCCAGATTTATATCCCCTGCCTCCCAAACCCAAAACGAAACCACAGAGCGCCACAGCTGGTAAACTGGGGAAAAGAAACCATTTCCTTCTACCTTTCCCCAAATACTCTTAACCCTTATACGAATTCCCACATCTGTCTCTCAGCAGCAGAAGAGTGAATATGGAAGAGGTTTGCTGGAGAATCCTTTGCGGGGGTGGGTAGGTGGGTGGGAGAGGGATTAAGGAGGAGAATATACGTTCATCAGGGGAGACTTGAGAAGGTCGAAAAGTTTCCAAACTTGACAAACAACCCTGACCACACCAGTGACAGGAATAATGGCC